TGACAAGAAACTAGCCTAGACACTTACTACAACAGTTGTATCTCATTTTTTGAAGAATCACTATACTGATTTCTATAGTGATAATTTCAGTTTGCCTTTTCACCAACAACATTAAATGAGTGTTCTCTTTTCCACCTTCATCAACATTTCTTTTTTTCTTTCATTAACATTTCTTGTTCTTTGGATTCTTGATAATAGCCATTCTGTTAGGATAAGATGGAATCTCAAAGCAATATTAATTTTGCATTTTCCTGAAGGACACTGACATTGAACACTTTTCAAAATGGTAGCAGATATTCATATTTCTTCTTTGGGAATTTTCTGTTCAGATCTACAGTCCATTCCTTGATTGTGTTGCTCCTTTTCTTGGTGTTTTCTTCTTCGAGTTACTTTTCTAGACACTAATCTTCTTCTGTGTGTATAGCTGGCTAATTGCATGGTTTTTACTTTAGTCAGTTGTTTATTCCTGTCTTTTATAAGTTCATTCAGGTGTTTAATTAAATCCTCTTTAAATTTCTTGACCTCCTGAATATGCTTGCAACTCTTCTTTTTAATCCTGTGTCTTGAACTTCATCGAAATTGTATTCACTTGGGATACATGCTAAATGATTCACGATTTTTAGAAGAAACATATTGTTTTATTTTTCACATTGCTTTTAATTTTATGATGGGTCTTGGACCTCTAGGGTTTGGTTCTTGATTATTTCTTTTGGTATAAGTTTTGCTCACCATTTTGGAGTCCCCAGGTAGGTTACGAAATACATACTTTGGGGGAATCCTAAAGGAACGAAGTTTGGCAGAAGCAGTCATTTATCAGGGGTCTGTGAGTACCCACAGAGAAGACCAAGATAGGGTATCTAGTTAGACAGCTAGTGTAGTCCTAAGAGGGTGTAAACAAGAAGAGTGGTTTCTATCAGGATGCCTGTGACAATTGATTGGCAGTTATATATTCTCTCAGAATGTGGAAAATTGCATTTCAGTGCTTTTCCAGCTCTAAGATTTCTACAGAGAACTCTGTTATTTTATTAGTAGGTTTTTCTTTGTGGGTAAACTGACACATGCTCCTTCATTCTTTACCATCAGCATTGTTTATGTTTCATCTACTTCTTGTTATGAAGGCTATTTCTTTTTCATGTGCATTTGGATGACTATTGTTGGATTGTCCTTATAGTTTTGTAGATTAAGAAAAATTCTTGATGCTATAACATCATGGAATTAATCTTCTATGCTTTAGTCTGCATCTCAGACCATCCTTTGCAGAAAGGACACAGGGGTCTCAGAGGCTTCCAAAGTTGAGATCTTTTCCTATTTCCTTCCTTCCTTCCTTCCTTCCTTCCTTCCTTCCTTCCTTGTCTCCTTCCTTCTTTCCTTTCTTCCCTCCCTTTATTTTCTTCCTTCCCTCCATTTTATTGTTTCTTTTTTCTTCCTTTTCCTTCAAGCCAGGATTTCCTTTTTGAAATATTTAGTTTAATGTCATGGGTGGTGGCAAACCCTTTAGTCATCCCATCACTAGGGAGGCAGAGGCAAGTGCATCTCTGAATTTGAAGCCAGCTGCTCTACAGAGTGAGTTCCAGAATAGACATGGCTACAGTGGTTGCAAACCCTCCCAAAAAAGTATTGAGTTCAGTGAACACAAGATTTTTTTAATACTGCAATGCTACTTATGTGCTTAAAATATAAATACCATATAAAATTTAACAATAAAACCTTTCATTGAATAATAGTATTTTGTAATTTATTTTCTTTTTTATTTTTAATTACTACTTATATTTACATATCCATTCCCCCATTCCCTCACCCTCCCATCCTCCCATGTCCCCACCCCTCCCAACCTAGCCCTCCCCGCTCCTCCCCAGTGATAGTGAGGCCTCCCATCAGGGACCTTCAAAGTCTGTCATATCATTTGGGGGAGGGTCTAGGCCCTCCTTGCTGTATCTGGGCTACAGTAGTATCCCTCCATAGGGAATGGGCTACCAAAGTCCATTGTGCTTTAGGGATAAAGACTGGTTCCACAGTTAGAGGTCCCATAGACTGTCTTGGCCTCCTAGCTGGCACCCACATTCAGAGGGCTTGGTTTGGTCCAATGCTATTTCCCCAGCTTTATGACAAGGGTCTCCATGCTATGAGTAGGTCAGGTCCACTGTTTCTACATGTCTCTCCAGCCCTGTCTTGGTTCCTTTGCTCATTCCTCCTCCCTCTCCACAACTAAAATCCAGTAGTGTGGTTCAGTGCTTAGCTGTGGGTGTCGGTTTCTGCTTTGAACAGCAACAGGATGAAAGCTCTCTTTCTTCTCCCTGCCCCAGGTCTCCCACTTAGGTCAGGGATTCTTGTCCCCATCCCTTTCTTTGAGGGACTATGCAATCTCTCTTGGGGACCTCCTTCTTTCCTAGCTCCTCTGGTAGTGTGGATTGTACACTAGTGACCATTTGCTCTATGTTTAAAATTCAAAAATGAGTAAATACACACTATGTTTATCTTTTTGTGATTGGGTTACCTCACTCAGGATGGCTTCTTCTAGTTCCATCCATTTGCCTGCGAATTTCAAGATTCATTGTTTTTTTTTTTCCACTGAGTAATACTCCATTGTGTAAATGTGCCACATTTTCTCTATCCATTCTTCAGTTGAGGGGCATCTAGGTTGCTTCCAGGTTCTGGCTATTACAAATAATGCTGTTATGAACATAGTTGAACATATGTCCTTATTGTATTAGTGTACATAATTTGGGTATATGCCCAAGAAAGGAATGGCTGGATCTTGAGGTAGACTGATTCCCATTTTCCTGACAAATTGCCATATTGATTTCCAAAGTGATTATACAAGTTTGTACTCCCACCAGCAATGGAGGAGAGTTCCTCTTTCTCCACATCCTCTCCAGAACAGATTGTCATTGGTGTTGTTAATTTTAGCCATTCTGACAGGAGTAAGATTGTATCTCAGAGTGGTTTTGAGTTGCATTTCCCTGATGGCTAAGGATGTTGAGCACTTTCTCAAGTGTCTTTCAGCCATTTTGGATTCCTCTGTTGAGAATCCTCTATTTAGTTCTGCACTCCAATTTTTAATTGCATTGTTTGGTGTTTGGTTGGCTAGCTTCTTGAGTTCATTGTATATTTTGGTGATCAGCCCTCTGTCAGATATGGGGTTGGTGAATATCTTTTCCCATTCTGTGGGCTGGCATTTTGTCTTGATGACTGTGTCTGCCTTACAGAAGCTTCTCAGTTTCAGGAGGTCCCATTTATTAATTGTTGATCTCAATGTCTGAGCTACTGGTGTCATGTTCAGAAAGAAGTCTCCTGTACCTTTCTAGGAGGTTCAATGTGGCTGAATTTATTTTGAGGTCTTTGATCCATTTGGATTTAAGTTTTGTGCATGGCGATAGATATGGATCTAACTGCAATCTTCTACATGTACGAATCCAGTTATGCCAACACCACTTAGTGAAGATTCTTTCTTCCTTCCATCATATAAATTTAGATTCTTTGACAAAAATCAGGTGTTTATAGGTGTATGGAATAATATCAGGGTTTTCAATTCAATTCCATTGGTCAACCTGTCTATTTTTGTGCCAATACCAAGCTGTTTTCAGGACTACGGCTTTATAATAGAGCCTGAAGTCAGGGATGGTGATGCCTCCAGAAGTTCCTTTATTGTACAGGGTTGTTTTGGCTGTCCTGTTTTTTTTTTTCCATATGAAGTTGAGTATTATTCTTTCAAGGTCTGTGAAGAATTGTGTTGGGATTTTGATGGGAATTACATTGAGTCTGTAGATTGCTTTTGGCAAGATTGCCATTTTTACCATGTTGATCCTACCTATTCAAAAGCATGGGAGATCCTTCCATTTTCTGGTATATTCTTTAATTGCTTTCTTTAAAGACTCAAAGTTCTTACTATACAAGCCAGGATTTTCTATACCTCACCATGTAGTTTATATTGTCCTTGAACTCATGGAACTCTTCCTGGCCTAGCCTCTAGAATCTGGTATCCATAAATAAGCTACCATGCCTGGTAGATGGTTTCTATTATACTCAGTCTTCCCTGTAGATGTTTTGTGTCATAGTGGCTTCTACTTAGCACAGTTGTTACTTCTTTCCTTCTTTTTTATCTTCCTGCAATTTTTCTCTTTTATTCTTTAAGAGTGTTAGAAGTTCAGTTAACCTCAAATCAATGCTAAATTTTGGGCTGAAACTCTTTTAGGCCATCATTATAGTAATTTATTGGAAATTCCTGTGTTGGGGAATGACCAAGGCCATTATTAGCCATCTTTTTTTATTTATTAGTTCCATTTAGGGAACAAGCTTGTTTCACATATAAGTTCCTTCTCCCTCTCCCTCCCCTCTTACACCACAAGCCAACACACTAAAACTGTCCATTGACAGAATCATCAACAATGATATTTTCTTTCTTTTCTATGTGTTTTGTGGTACTAACTATTTGAAACATTTACTCTGAATCTGTAGGTACTGTTGGGTTTATGACTAGTACATTCAAATCTGAAATGGAGATAGGGTCACATAAATCTGCAGATCTGGTTCTTTTCATGCTGGTCTTAGTAAGACTTTCTCATCATGACTCTCATTAATGATTTCCATATTTTCCCAAGTTATAACCTCCCCTGTCAGGATTGAGAACATCAACTGTCAGTCATACTTCTGGCTCTGAAGTTCCTGCACCAGACAAGAACCATTTTTAGGACAGGAGAAATTTGTGTTCATGGTTATGTTTCTTTGTGACACAGCTCCAGATCTGAATGTCTATATTAGGGCACTAACTACTCTCATATCAATCAGCACAGGACATGAGTTGTAGATAGCTCAAATAAATACAAACTGGATTTTAATTAAAGCTCCCAAAATACTGGATTTGATAAATTACTTTCTAGCCTCAATCCTCTTTCTCTTCTCTATGAACCAGCTCAGTTGTTATCACAGAGCAGGGTGGTCCTGGGAATCAAAAAATACACAGCATGTGCTAATGTCTTTTTATTTTTTATTTTTTGCTTCAGGAACACTATTGGAGATTTCCTAAGTAAGGATTCCAATATCTCAACCAGGGAGACTCCCATCACAGCACCAAATGGAAGCATCTACAGTGATTCTTCATATTGTGGCATTATGGCCAAAGTCATGTTTTTTATTTGCTTCATCTTTGCCCTAGTTGGGATGGCAGCAAATGCCATGGTCCTGTGGTTGCTGGGCTTCCGCTTGCACAGGAATGCCTTCTCTGTCTATATCCTCAACCTGGCTATGGCTGACTTCCTCTTCCTGTGCTTTCAGTTTATATTTTACCTTCTTATTCTCATTAACATCTTCTACTACACTATTTCCATCCACATCCTTTTGTTTTTTACTGTTGTGTCAATATTTGCTTATTTTTGTGGGCTGAGCATTCTCAGTGCCATTAGCATTGAACGCTGCCTGTCTGTCATGTGGCCCATCTGGTATCGCTGCCAACGCCCAAGGCACACATCAGCTGTCACATGTGCCTTGCTTTGGGCTCTGTCTCTGCTGTTGACTTTCCTGGATTCGAAGGCATGTGGCTTACTCGTTAGTAGTTCTGACATGTTTTGGTGTCAGACATTTGATTTCATCATGATTTCATGGTCAGTTGCTTTATTTGTGGCTCTCTGTGGGTCCAGCCTCACTCTGCTGGTCAGGATTGTCTGTGGCTCACAGAGGATTCCTGTGACCAGGCTGTATGTGATCATTGTACTCACAGTGCTATTCTTCCTGATCTTTGGTCTTCCCTTGGGGATCTGCTCTGTCCTCTACAAATGGATTTGGAATTTATATAATCTTAAAATTTGTGATTTTTATTATGTGACACTATTCCTATCCTGTGTTAACAGCTGCGCCAATCCCATCATTTACTTCTTCGTTGGCTCCATCAGGCACCACAGGTTTCAGCAGAAGAGTCTGAAGCTGTTTCTGCAGAGAGCCCTGCAGGACACTCCTGAGGAGGAGGCAGATGGAGAGAGGGTTTCTTCAGGAGAGCCTGAAGAACTGGACACAGTCTAGTGCAGCAGCTGGGAGATGCTCTGATCAAAGAGAAGTGCTTATAAAGAGAAATTTTTCCTTATGTGTGGGCTATGTTCTTCAATATTTTTTAGTTTGTCACCTGACCTCCATCAGCTAAAACAATCATTTTTGGGAATGTTGAGTGACACAGAATGTTTTATGCAAATACTGACTCAGTGTCTCTGGAGCTGTCTTACTCAGGGCTTCACCATTGCCTTTGATGGTGCTCCTTGTGAGTGCTCTGGGGTCAAGGACTGCTCCTATTGTTCCAAACCCTCCATCATCAGATGATTAAAGAAAGTGCAGGAAAGGGTTGAATGTCTTTAGTCATGAAATTGATAGTGGTTAAATGAATGCTATATTTTACAAAACTTTTTAAAAAAACAACCCTTGTTTTCAGTGTTTCTAGAGCTAAACAGATATGTTTTAATAAGAGATCTTATTAATTTTTGTAGGCTTTAAAGAATTTATGAACCTAATTATGTTTTTTTATACAAATTGCTTAGTAAAAATATACATTTTCAAAAAGAGTCTATTGAATTTCTTTTTACCCAGTGGAGTCTTTACCTTCAGGTTTACTATCTGCTATTTTTTGCATTTGAAGAGTTTGGTCAGGTTTTGTAATGGGATCCATCAACATCCACACACATCTGAGGGTAGAGGGAGACTGTCTTCTGCGTCTGCCTTCACAATGCCTTGCTTACCATTCCATTGCCAAGTCATTTGTCTTCCTCTGTTCTCTTTGCCATGCTTCCCCTCTCTCTGACTGTCTAATCCCTTAAGACAAATTTCCAATGAGGTACTTTACACTAGGTTCCCTGGAAATCAAATCCCTTTCAAATTCATGCTATTCCCAGGAACCCACAGCATTTATTACTTAACTTATACTTATTTTTGTAACATTTTCCATAAAATAATATTTCAATATTATAGCTGAAGTATGTGATAATTTCAACTTAAGCACAATTAAGACAGCATAATATGAACAGATCAAAGGGAATAAATCAATAAATTTTCTTATGTGAGTGAGGCTACAGGACTGAAAAGCAATCAAGACACAAAAGTATCTCTTACCTCTCTGTATTTCCATTTCCTCTTCAGTCATAACCCTTTGCCTCAGAGGTCAGCATTGTCCATATTTCTATTCAGAGCCAAAATGTAGAGTGTAAATTGGAAGACTGTAACATGAAGATTGATATACATGTGGTGAATTGATTGTTATAGTTGAACAAACTAATATATTCATCCTCTCATCTAAATATTCACCTTTCTCTTTTCGACAAAAGTTTCTATTTAGCAAAAGTTATGTGTGTAATTCACTGTTATTTCCCAGCAATCTCATGCTGTTTATTACTGTGGTGGTTTAAATGACAATGGCCCCCCATAGGGTTATATATTTGAATTCTTGGTTCCTACTTGGTTGAGCTGTTTGAGTAATGATTAGGAGATGAGACCTCATTAGTGGATATATGGCACTGGGGCTCATTTTAAGGTTTCAAAAACCCAATTTATTTCCATTCTCCCCATCTCTGTCTTATGCTTGTGGATCAGATGTATGCAGTCACCTACTGCTTCAGTGCCATACCTGCCTGCTTGCTGTCCTACTGACATGCTCTCTAATATGATAGTTTCTGTTCTCTAGCAGACCCCACCCTGTTAAGCTTCTAATTCATAAAAATAAAATGCCTAAAGACCTCCCAAAACAAAGGAAAATTCAGTCAACATTGGAAATCAACAAATCAAAGCCTATACAACTGTAATACAAGGAGGGGTCCAGGTTCCATTCCATGGAGGCAGGAGAATTTGATAACATCAGCTATATAGTATTGGCTTCAATCAGAATGTATGCAGGAGTACAGAGGTTCCAGAATCCATCTAAGGTTAAGGAAAACTGCTGAGGCCAGGAATGTAGCAGGAGAGTCTCTGCATTGAGACCCCTAGAGACCACTGTATTATGTGAAGCTGTGGAAGTGAAGCCAAGATTGCACTGGGGACCCCTTGATGTTGGAGGCCCACAGACATGGGATATCTGCCAAGGAGTATGGCTTATTGAGAGTTGATCCAGCCTAGGAGAGAAGTGTGCTGCAGTCAGCAAAGCTGGAAGGGGAGAGCACCTTAGCTCCTTGACATCAGTCAGGAAGCTACAGGATTTTGAGTTTATTCTACTGGGTTTTGATCTTTCCTTGGCCCAGTATTCTCACTATAGCTCCCCTTTTGAATGGCAATGTGTGTTCTGTGCCTTTGTATGTTGGAAGTATTTAATTTGCTTTTTGATTTGACAAGATGTTATGGCTAAGAGATTGCCTTGAGTCTCAGAAGAGACCTTGGACTTTTAAAGTGTGTTGGAACTGTGAAAGACTATGAGGACTTTTGAAGTGGGACTGAATGCATTTTCCATCATGATATGGCTACAAGCCTATGAATGTCAGTGAGTGAATTATTCTGGTTTGAATAGAATGACCCAAATAGGCTCATGTATTGGAATGATTGATGCAAAGCTAATGGAATCTTTTAGGAACGATCATGAGGTGAGACCTTTTTGGAGGAGGTATGTCACTTGAAGTGGGACTTTGAAGTTTTAAAAGCCTGTGGTATTCCCAGTTAGCTCTCCAAATTAAATGTTTTCTTTTGAAAGTTGCCTTGTTCATGGTGTCTTATCACACTAACAGAAAATAAATTAAGATAATCATTTCATCTTACATTTATGTTACTAAATATTATTGACCTATGTGTCTCCTTTTCTGTTCCTTACTCATCATAAGACTTGTTAAATGTTAGCATATTGTCATTATGTGTATAGTGATTGGTAACTTACATGAAAATTTTCTCGTTATATATAACATAGCATAATGTATATTAAATTACCCATAGTACAACAAATGACCAGGACTCCTTGCTATTAACATTTGAATAATCATTTTGTGTATGTGACTGCAATAGTTTAATTATCAGTTCCTTCATTGTTCATTATCTGGGTTACTCCTCTGCCTTGAATATTGTGAATAATTATTCAATAAACATGAAAAACATATTTTTGTGTAGAATGATATATCTTTCTCCATGACTTCATTTTAGGCTGAAATGGCTTTATTTTCAAATAGGCATCTATTTGACAAATATTTTATAAATTTTATGTCTTTATATTCATTTTATATTTTTCTTTCATATTTTGAGATTATCATAATTTCCCTTCCCTTTCCTCCCTCCAAATCCTTCCATATCTCCCTTCTCTTTTGTTTCACATTAATGGTCTCTTTTGTCAATAATTTTTGCATACATACACATATGTTTATTCCTAAATACAATATGTCTAGTCTATATGTTACTTGTTTCACAGTTTCCAGTTTTGTATTGGATAATACAGTTTGTATTGGATAACCAGTTGATTTCTCCCACTTTCAGCATTCAGCATTCCTTAGTTGCCTGTAGTTTCCTACATAGCGTTGAGGCCTTGTGGTCTTATCCTCATCTAGTTTGGCATTTCTATCATTGATCAGCTCATGTTCAGACAATTATTTTGGTGAGACTGTATGGTTGTAGCTTTTGGTGTTAACTGGAAACACAATCTCACTGCATGGTGTCCTCATCAATAGGAGCTTACATTCAATGTCTGCAAGGGAAACCAAGAGAAATATCATGTATGTTTTAGGACTCTCTTAGATAACTCTGTTGGTCTTTATACTTAAATGTACTACAAATCTCTATAGTTTCTGTATTAGACATTGCTCTTGTGTGTTTGGGACCTTTCACTCATCTATGTTTGTATTTCTGGGTATTGAGCACAGGGTCTTATGTACAATGAGTTATATTTAAACCCTTATTTGGCCAGTCTGACCCCTACCAAGGTGAGTGTACACTCTGATCCTGCCGTACCCCTACCCAAAGTCCCATTCACACAAGATCTCTCTGGGCCTGTGCCTGGTTAGAGTGGACCCACCCAGACAGAGAGGAGCTCCCTGAGTCTGGAAACACATCACACTTCCTTCCCCCTTCTGCCACTGGCTGGACCCCTACTGAGTGAGTAGACTACCAGGCGAAACAAGACCATCCAGAGCTGCAGACATTGAAGCCTTGCCCACACACACCACTGGGTGACAAGAGGAAATAGAGAGACCCCACCTGCACCCACTAGAAGAAGACATGGGAAGAAGACAGAATAAGATTTCACTCAACAACAGAAAAACCAATATGACACCACCAGAATCTAGGGACTCCATACCATCAAGATCTAAAAAGCCCAACACAGAGGATGAAGAAGAGATGGACCTCAAAAATTATTTTAGGAAGATGATAGAGACATTTAAAGAGGAAACAAGAAAATCCCTTAAAGAAATAGAAGAAAAAACTGAGCAAAAAATTACATGAAATGGAGGAAAAGACAAACCAAAAAATTCAATAAATAAATGAATCTCTCAAAGAATCTAAAGAAAGTCAAGAACAAAACAACCCAACAAGTGAAGGAAGCACTTCAAACAGTTCAAGGTATGAAAGCTGAAATAGAAAGAATAAAGAAAACAGAGAATGAGGTGATGCTGGAAATAGAAAGACTGGATAAAGGATCAGGAATTAAAGATTTGAGTATAACCAATAGAATTCAAGAGATGGAAGAGATAATCTCAGTTGTTGAAGACTCTCTAGAGGATATACATTTATCGACCAAAGAAAATCTCAAGACCAACAAATCCCTAAAACAAAATAGCCAGGAAATATGGGACACCATGAAAAGGCCAAACCTAAGAATAATAGGTATAGAAGAAGGTGAAGAAATTAAATTCAGCTAAAAGGTAAAGAAAACATAATCGATGAAATCATAGAAGAAAACTTCCCCAACCCACAGAAGGATATGCCTATGAAAGTACAAGAAACTTACAGAACATCAAACAGACTGGACCACAAAAAGAAGTTCCCTTGCCACATAATAATCAAAATAAAGAGAAATATTAAGAGCAGCAAAGGAAAGAGACCAAGTAACATATAAAGGGAGAACTATCAGAATCACA